GCCGACCATAGATATCAAGTGTGCGTCCGCAGGGGATCGAACCCCGAACCATGTGCATGGTCGGCGAGAGCCCTAACCACTATGTCACCGACGCACCTAAAATATGAGGAAAACATTAATTACACGGGCATTTCATGTTACATTCAGAATTTATCCGCCACTCATCAGCTTCAAGCCAATTCATTCCTCATAAACTACTCACTTGAGAATTAGCTATTGATTATGGATAAGATTTTATTTTGATAAATCACAGTGTTATACAGTAATATTAACTGATGACGTTTCGAGCACAAAATATTGCTCATAATCATATCAAGTTGATAATGGAGTTATGCTCTACCACAGTGCCCAAGTTTTATACTTACATCAATTAGCTGTTGAGACACTGAAGTGACATAATCAAAGTGTAAAAGAATGCTTTTTTCATTCCTTTGCATTCTAAGTGGACCATAAGGTTCTAAGCATTAAAATCTCATTGTTGCTTTTACGGGATGAGATTGCTAGCCTCACCACCTAATACACTAGGCAGTTTAAAAATTGTACTAAATGATTGGAGGCAACCGGCAAGAAGTCTTAGACCTAGGATTCATTCTTGTTAACATCCACCAGCCAGTAAGGCATATCTGCAGTCTTAAAGGAACTCATGTCCCTTCTGAGATTAGAACCTGCTTAACCCAGTGCTACAGTCAGAGATATTAACACTGAGCTATCCAGTCTCGCAAATGCTCTCCTGTAGTACTGTGTTAGATACTAACTAGTGTCATACGTCTAGTCCTTTGTTTTGTACAGACTGGATTTCATCGGTCAAGCTTGCAGTGTAGACACTGTTCCAAGTGGCTCTAAGTTATGATGCATCCAGAAGTGTTCTTATTAGATGGTTTGGGGCAATCGACAGGAAGCCTTGCACCTGGGTTTGGCTGATGCATCTCAACCTTCAGCAAACAAAGGACTAGAGGCGTAATACTAATTAGCATCCAATCAAACGTTTAGGAGTGAGGTGGCTGAGAACTGAACACTACTTCCTCAGTTTCTTGGTGAAAACTGATTTTTTTAAGATTTCAGTCTTCACTGTGGAAGATGCAAAAAAGATACACCAAAGTTTTTCCTCATTCACTTCATGAAATTAGATTATTTAACCCGCCTACCAACAAGTCATGTAACTATGACAGTTCTCAGTTAATAAGCCATATGGAATTTCTTTATCATAGAACTGAGGAAATAACACATCATTTGATCAACAAACATCAGTAGCTTTATAGCACTCAGAATTTGAGATTATAGTAGAACAAGTAAAAAGTCAATCAGTTTGGTTATATAGTGATATAAAATTTTAGAAAATTCGACTATTTGTTTATCGATAAATGCAGTATAGCCCAGTCATACACGAATTTTTTTAATTCAGGGAAACACTCAAGTTCTGGTAATAATTGGCTTAACAAATGCATTCATCCCATAAGTGAATGCTCAGAAATGCATAACGATCTACAACGATCTCTACTTTGTGGTCTTAAATATTTTGCCTTCAGCATAAACGTTTCACTTAACTAAGTTCATTTTCATAGTGGTCTATCAGTGAGTGCCACTGTTTTTCAGTCTAAGTACACTGTGTCAGTAGATTGTCTACTTTTTTCTGGGTGTTTTTTTATCATAAACATATCGATATCACTACATGAAAAATACCCACCAGAATATTGAGGAGAAAACAAGAAGTTCAGTTAGAATTTTTCCGTGGGTATAAGAATATATATATCTCAGTTCACCTGCTCCTGTGTAGCTCGATGTATACGTTGCTTTATGTTCGTCCTGTCAGAAAGTGTAAGACAACGCTGCCGAGCGTGGCTGTAAGGAAATGGCACTATTTCAATCAAAAGCTGTGTGACTGAACACGTTGTCAGCACTTGTCGCAGCATCTCAACTGAAATTCCTCAGAGTCATTTACAAATAAAACAGAAATCGAACAAAGACAGCGCATTCTAAATTTTTCATGCTGCGAAAGCCTTTGCCATGTGCATGAATGGGGCCAAGATTATGTGTTCAAAAGAGGCTATTTCAAGCTATGCATCTAACAAGAACCTAGTCTCGTTTGATCGTGTTTTCTTTAGATACTTTTTCTCCCTCTTCACATTTTTTTCATCTCTAGTAATAAAATATCACTTAAGCTTGTTTCTGTGCCCATTCTTGTCGCACCTGTTCTCAGCAAAAACAACAATTCACATATTACAAAAGTATATTATTAGTCCCGTATAATTTTGATATCTGTGACCCATGTGAATAATACCCATCTCTCACCACACCTGCGAGCTTCCATATCGAGTTGAAAATTATCCTCTCCCTCCAGTCTCATCTTTATTACTATATCCAATTAAATAATTGTAATTATGCTAAATTATGTATACAAATTGCTATTTTACAGCTTTTGAGAATGATACCTTCAATGAAATCCTCTTTTTCTCAATATCAGTTATCAAACCTAAGAGAATACCAAATAACGGACACACTGCAAAAAAAGTTAAGATCCTCAGTACCTGCTTTTACATTTACCTCTAACTACGGCGTTGTTTCACCTCATCCTCAAACCAACAATATCTGTAGATAAATAAAATTTTTACACCCAGAATGAACAGGATTTCTTCAACTGGTTTCTAAATAATTAAGGAATGTCATCTGAAAGCGCAGATGTTGATAAATATCATAATTCTTGTTGTTTAAACTATCTATCTAGAAGTTTTACTGGGATTCCTCTTCTCTTTGGAAAAATTGCCGAGCCGGTTACGATACTGAATGTCACGCAAAACGAATAGAGATGGACTTTAGAAGTAAGGTAGGAATATTTGTGTTCCATACCATTCATTGCGACTATGATAAGCACTTCAACTACCCTGATCAACTCAATACTATGACAGATATACATTTTATCTTCATTAAGATTAACAACCTTAAAAGTCAAATGTATTTAGTTTTGCCAAACGAATTAAAAACAAGTTGATAAATTCATAACACACTCATTCCAACTCATTTCTTCTTATATATTATTATATATAAACCAAATAGTTATAATACAGCGTTTTGCGCTTCACTGAAATCAAGATTTTAAATAAGAAAATAGTCTAGCTTAGTTAAGACTAAAAATAAGTTTATTCTACGCTGTCTTAATGCTTTCAGTGGTGGATTCTGAAAATAAACCTGTAATTTCTGTAATAATCAACATTCTGTTAAGAGATTTCATGGCAGTCACCATCGTAGTCCCAAGAAGTGCGAAAAGTGATCTCCCATTACATTTTTTCTTCGAAAATTTCACTGTGAAATTTAGCTTCCGTCACTGTTTCATATTTGTACTAATATGTATCATTCCATTTCTATTCCTACTTTCAGTGCGTCTCTTACATTTATGGGATTGCTTTAGCATGGTTGACGTAATCAATATGAAATACAGCGCATAAAAATGGAAGAAAACTTAACTAGTCTTTAAAAACAGCTACAGTTACTTTTATGTACCTTTATTTGATATGACTTAACCACTGAGGTTAAAGTGAATTTGTCCTGGTTACATAAGGTAAGTTTTTACTTTTTGGAAGTTAAAAGTTGTGTGAGCTATAAAAAGGTAAGGCTTTTGATAAAATAGCCACATACAGGGAGCCTATTGAAGAATTACTAATAGGGTTCTGTTATTACCAATAAGTGTGGATAAATCCCACCAAAAGATGCACTCAAGTTCACATTGTACGATCTCTGGGTACACTTTTATTGTCAGAAGTTTAAGTGAGGTGTATAAACCTATTAGAATATCAGTGACACTATGGTGTTGGAGACTGAATATATGAATATGAATATGATAATTCTGCATTCAATCCCGAAAACAAAGAAGAAATAGATTATTAACACCTGTCTGTGACCTTTAAAACTCTAGTGAGCTCGCCGACAACTACTTACAGTTTAAAAAATAGTTACAAAATAAATTGAAATAGATAAATACAGGAAACTTAATTTTCAGACGAAGTAATATTAGCCCTACTGTACTATTTCAACTTTGCTGCAGTTTATGAAGTTTTTAAAAATGGATTTTTCTTTATGAATTACCTGTTGACATACAATTATTAAACCGGAATAACAAATACATTTGATAAAATAAAAATCTAGCTAAGTATAGCAATCAACTGTTAACAGTTTTTCTTAGGTGGAAAAAAACACCTTAAAATTATATGTTTCAACCAAACATTTTGAATATTTATGCGGGAGAGGACATAAAGTAAAGTTATCTAAGCAGATCAACAAATATATAAAACTTGACTGAAAGTAAACAAGCTTACTGGTAAGGCCAGTATTTTAACTAAATAAAAGCTATAAAATATCTGTCTGGCATAGAGTGCTTCCAACTAGTGTACGCCATCAAAACATATGCTATCGGCGTCCTAAAAATTTTCACTTCATAATGTAGTGCAAATAAATTTAACCACCTTATTAGGTAGCAACCACACTATTAATAATTAGTCATTTCCCGTTAGTTTGGATACGAACAATCATTAGGCACACAGTTCGAATCGGTTGCACTATAATAATAAGAATAATAAAAACAAAGCTCTAATTTTTATGAATAAGCTTGCTAAGACGTGTGACACTAGACTGCATAACACTCAAAAAGTAACTGCCAAAAAATGAAAGATTCATGGAATACGTGCTATATGTAGTGCTCACTAGGTTGAGCTAGAGGACTGCTTTTGCCAAAGGTTTCACTAAAAGACACTTACTAAACAAATAAAGTTCTCATTGCTAATCCATCGAGTGATGAGAAGATTAATGATTTATTTAATAAATGTCAATGACTATCACAATCGGTTTCAGTGCTGCAAATAAGCTACAAAACTGACTCAGCCGTATTAGCTAACAGTATCAAATCAATACTCAAGATTTCCTCAGGCTAATGATGAAAATATCATGATAAATTCAACTGCAACTTGTTTAATAAACCAGTAAAACTGAAAATCATATGGAAAATCACCAACCTGTTGAATATTTACATTCAGATTTGCTGATGGATTTGTGCACAGAAATTGCTTCGCATAGCGTATATGCACCTGTTCAAGTTCTTCAGGTGTCATGCCCCAGTTTTGAAACTTCTCTGGTATCCTAGGGTCGAACCTTCACAACAAAACATTAAATTAAAGACCTCATACCAGGTAGTTTCCTGTGTCTGGTGATTGAGAAAATACACCTGATTACTTTCATTTATTGCCATATCATAACCAACAGGAAGATCACTAATAGCGAAAGCCACCGTAGGTCTACATAGTAGTGGAGTTTGTCTAGAGTCTCTGAAAGAGTAATGCTCAAATATATTTATTATATAAAATACCTTTGTATGAACCCAGGACTGCATGAATCCGAGAAGCTGAAGTCCGGGCTAAATTCGGAAATATATTTTGATGCAACATCCAGACTTTTTTGATGTGCGTGATTAGGTGCATTTACGGAAACTGGTGTTCGTAGAGCAGCATCTAAGCATGCTGGAGACGAATTAGCTTTGCTGTGAAATACAACGAAATCTGAAGAATTCCTTTCATTACAATGTAGGGAGTTTAATTTTGAAAAACGAGAAGTTTCGTTTGCATCACCAGGAGGAACGAAAAAGGATTTAGGCAGCTTACGTTGATGCAAAGGGACTTGCTGCCTTTGAGAAACAGGGTTAAAAAGTTCTTGAAGGCTACTGTTGGGATCTTCTAAGACGGTCACACGGACACTGGGAGGCTTTCTGGAATCATATCCCTCCATAGCGAAATATACCACGGTATCACAATACTAATGTCAAAGGACTTGAACTTTTGATGCGTGCAAAGAAACTAAAGTGGTGCATTTAAACAATTGCAAAACCACTGTAGAATGTACGAGTACATCTTTTTATTCGGAAATGAACACGCTGTCCATGCCCTAATAAACTTGTGTTCAGAAGAATTTTTTTGAAGTACTTTCTTCGTTTCTTAACTATTAAGAACTTCTCTGGTCATCTGTTTGTTATATCTAAAAGCACATTTTTCACCACTCTGAGTAATTGTGGGTTTATTGTGCACGAAAATAAGTATGCTGTAAAGACATTGACATTTAATTAAATTAATATTATATCGTCCACTGCTTTTGCTGTTTATCTGAGTCATGCTTTTTGCAGAGTGTCGCTTAACCCATAGCTTTGAAGGCACTGTCACCCTAATGTTTTCTGCTGCGTTTATCAATCAGCGACGAAAGCGTGTAACTGACTAAGAGAGTTAATATACATGCCGTTATCAGTATTTGCGAAACTGTGATATCTCCTACTACCCCAGTTGTTTCTAGGGTATCATGCAATGCATAACTGATTACTAAATACTGTTATACTATTATTCGGTAAATATCTAAACTCTTGGTCCTAGTTCTTCACATTCTCTCCTGTCTGACTCTCCTGGCTACTCCAAATATTACGTTCATTACACTATTTTTATTGTCATTATTATTGATATTATATACATGAATATATATCAACTTCAAATTTCATCAGCTGTCTGTTTATACGTTGTCTTTATTTCTTTTCCTCTTTTAGTCTGCATAACCTACACTGATCATATCCGTTATTATTATCTGTTTTCTTTTTTTCCACGACATCGGAGGAATCAACTCTATTCACAGTAGCAACACGGTCTTAACACACTGCATACTACAAAAAACATTTAATTAATCCCAGCACCACTCCTTTTGGGGTCAACCAAAGCTACGACAGTAGAGTAGTGGGACGAACTACGCAAAAATTTACAGAAGACCAGGAACCTTCACCTCACAAACAAAAAGCGAGCATAACGAAGTCAAATCGGTCTTCACTGGCTAGTAAAAACGATACTGGATGGCTCATATAACTTGACCCATGAAACTAATATGAATATGAAGAGATACGTATTCTACAAGACATTACAGTCTGTAGGGCTCAGGGTTTTACTACTCATTGGACATATCCAGAATATCCCTCTACGTATTTCAAGGTATTTTATTACATGAGCGTTGTAATGTTTATGTTTTTGATCGTTTTGGAGAAAACATATTGGTGCTTAAGCACTGAGAAATGCTTGTTCGCCTATATTGATAGTGGTGCTACTAAGTGAAATTCAAGACCTAAAACTGCTGTCGTAGAAACATATATCTTAAACTCTTTTATGCTTGTACAATATACATATGACCTTATCAGATCCAAGTAGATAGCTACTAAATTGTAGAGTTGTGCACAAGTATTAATTTGGAAGTTTGCATTATTATCCTGGCAGAAACTGGCAGTGTCTTTTGTTCAGACAGAAAATGTGATGATATGACAGAAGAATGAAAATAACAGTTTCGTAGTTACATGAATTTATCGGTCTTCATGATGCTATTGATATTTCACTTAATTTACAGAATGCAGAGGTAACAGCCTGTGACTTGTGTAGTACTGAAGCTAGCTGTCTTCAATGTATTCCGTCCATTCGTTCAGTAGCAGTTTTCCGTTTTCATACGAAAACACCCTGATGAATCAGAAATACTTTCGGAAGAACCCAAGCGACAAAATTTAGGTCCTTAAACTTTCAAGTTGCATAACATTAATGGGGAGTATTTTAGCATCGATACGCTACAGCTTTTGTGATCAGACAAAAAGGGCAAAGCGAAAACTGGTTACAATTATCCACTTCTTATTAAGGAAAGCCTACTACTGTCTGAAGTTGAGTGGAAAGGAGAATGGCCGATCAGTAAATCTGAAGGAATAGATTGATCCGTTACTGGAAAGAAATGAATGCCCATTTTACAATCTGGTTGACAGGGTTACAGGCACACTCTAGTGGCAAATGTAAGTGATGTTAGACCGTTTAAATGCTTCATTCTTACCCGAACTCTCAAGCGAGGCACCTTCCATACTTCGAAGGAACCACTCAGATCACATTTTGCGTGCTCACAATTCGTGCATTAATTTTTTATATTTACATTAAACAGCGATATGTTTAATTCATTTATGAAAAATCTTACCATGCCACTACTATTGTCAATTACATGACTTTATCATTTCGCCTGTTTTCAAATTTTTCAAAAAGAAAAGTATGTTTCCATCATTCTAATTAATTCAAGCTTTCCATCCGTTACCTGTCATCCTGATATGAATTTTTAATCTGTTGATAGCTAACTACTTCATGAAAGCTTTAGCAGATTACCAAGCTGTCTTACTAACACGTATTATAACTAAAGGCTTTTAGTCCGTTGATCTTTAGGTTGCCAGTTGAAACGGGTAAACCATCAAATATCATTTGAAGTAGGGGACCTTATCGTCATTTAAAGCACCGCGGATGGCATTTAAGCGTCCACAAGCTATTTCTGCGAAGAAATCAGTCCGACGCTTGGTATTCAGAAGCTTTCGAGCTAGTGACAAAACCAAACAATTTAAAGATCGGAATAAAGTCAAAGTAACCTAGCTGTCTTTTTGGAAGTTAATCTGTCCATAATTCGATCTTGAGGTGAGGAGTACACATGTAATCAAAAGGTATAACAACCTTATTCTATAACGGATCACACTGAAGCACGATTAACCAGCTCTAGTACTTCAAAAATCATTTTAACTCTCATCATCGCATAATGCCTATGAAAGTTAAATCAATCCTTAACAAACTACTGATGATAAGAGCACCAGAACCCCCATATAATCCTCTACCCATCATAACTATTATTTTTGAGTAGTGGTGTCCTTCCTACACACCAGACGGAAAGACAAACATATATAAAGACGCACTTCCGGTGTGACAGGAAAAGTGGTCAGAAAGGAAACTGTCTCATGTACATCCTGAACACTCCGTACTGCACGTAGTAAATAGGAAAATTAACAAAAATTAAGCACACTTTGTAGGTCGACATGAACTTTAAAAATGCTGCAGAGCACCTGCCACCTTTAGTCACTACGAGACCCAACTTACTGATGCAACAGGACAAGAATCCACCCTTCCAAAGGAGCGCATGATCCTATGTGGAGACCCCGACATACTCAAAATCACCTCGGACTCATTTACTAGCCCAGCTAAATATGACAAGCTCTTAGGTGCACTGGACATTTTCGTCTGGAAACAGACTGTCAGCAACCCCACAAGAGGCAATGGCGTACTAAACATAATATTCTACCACAATATAAGTCCTCTCTCAATCTTAGTGGGTTCTAAGTTTTCACGTCGGGACCAAAAACAGTGTTGTGTGCATTACCACTTCCACTGAGTAGCCATGCAGCTTACACCTCTACTTCACAACAAATAACGTGTGTGAACTATAGTATGGCAAACTGGGCTTTCATAGAATCAATACCTAGGTCCTCTAAATGGAGTGAATACTTCACTACTGATGACCTTTCGAGAGCCCTGGAAATCTTCCTCCCGAACTCGAACACATGCTCAGATGCCACCATTCCACTCCTAAAACCAAAAGTTTTCCAATATGAAAAGCTATTTATAAAACCAAAGGATAGCACAAAACTGAGGAGACTATCGATAAGGTGCTTCAAACATCACCGCTTTGGCACACCAAGGTCAATACCTGCCACTCTTAGCTCCATCTCACAAGCCCAAGATTTGCATCTGGGGAATGACAAACGGACTGCACTAATATAATATATATTTCACATAAATTAAGCATTTACATGATTGACATACCGTTTATACAGGCATGATCATATTTCACAAGTACAATTTGAAATGGAACACTGTTTTATGACATTAAAAATTGGAAAGGTGGAAAAAAACCTCTGGAAACTTTATTAGAATAGATTACAATATATTAGTTCAAGTCTAAATTATAATCTATAATATACTTATAGTCAGTCAAATCCATGCGGGAATTACGAAACGTTGCGTTAATGGAAGGTAAGAAGAGAGGTGGTACACAGATGCTAGAGTAAGACATACAGGTTACAGGCCTTGTGATCATTATCATTTTATCAGCCAGCCCTGTAAGTGTGTATGCTCTTACAGAAATCCCAAAGAAGCGATTGAATATCAAGTACTATAGCATTTCTCCACTCATCGACAAAGGTAGGCTATACAACGATTCTGTGGATGTGTATGAATTATTTAACAAAACATTTGCAGCAAACTACCTGAAGCCAAAAGTCCTTTTGCTCAGTATGCCCTATACTGATATGGCACAACTTCCCTCTTTCCCCTCACTAAATTGGTACCGCTGAGTTCACGTGTGCTAACATTAACCAGGCCATCATAACTTTTTTTTGATTTACAGCTTGATTCCACACCGTATTTTCAGTACAAGTGTGGAATTTTCAGCATGGATATCGGTAGCCCAAATTCAGGCCGACCATAGATATCGGGTGTGCGCCAGCAGGGGATCGAACCCCGGACCATGTGCATGGTTGGAGAGAGTCCTAACCACTGTGCCACCGACGCACTTCAAAAAGCTCTAAAGTTGCTGGTACTGACGCTGTATTTATTTATATCTATATTTATTTATTTATTCCTGTTTATGCAGGAACATACCAATTGTACAGGCATGGATAAGTCATTATATAAATTACAGCTTGTTTGTTCTTTCTAACATTAGAGTCAGTCAGAACAGTCTGCAAAATAGTCTGTCTGTGTAACACATAAAGAGATATAGAAATATTGTCTTCGCATTAACAAAAAACCCAGACTTCAGATGAATGTAATACAAATATCTGGGAAAAATAAAGCTTGAAGTCAATTCTCCTATATAACTTTGTTGTGAACAGCATCCTTGAGTTAAAGTTTATTGATGTATTATTTTGAGTCAATAATGTATTTATTCCATTTTTTTCACCAGTCTTATCGTAGTTTTATAATAG